GCCCTTCACAGCCCTGGGGGCTCCTGGGGTCACTCAGAGCACCTGTAAACCCACCCCGAGGGAAGCCCCTCCCACTTCCCCTTGGGGCTCTGTTGGAGCAAAAAACTGTCGGCAGCAAAGGGCTGACTCGGGGGCTGCTGCCCCCGAACTCCCACCTCAGATGCTGGCTCTGGCCTGGGACCAGGCACTGTGACCCCCCCAACCTGGGCAGGCGCGACACGAGCGGCCAGCAGTGCTAATCTGAAAGGAACACGCTGCCAGCCAGCCTGCTGTGCCCATGGGACCAGATCGCTGCATCTGAGCCTTTGGCGGGGCCCCTGGGCACACCTGGACGACCCAGTGCCGTGAGGCAGCATGCATGTGCCAGACCATCCTAGTGTGTGCCCCGCACACCTGGCCCTGGCCTGGCCAGCTCAGTCACCATGGCCCTGGGAGTGAAGTCATGGATGGTCCGGGCACCACCACCCTCGCACTCGCACGCCGGCTGGGCTACCCTGACAAGGCGGCTTCCCTGGGGCAGAGAGTAGGTGGGGGGCTGGCCCCCCTCCGAGAGCTGTGGGTGGGTGACCAGGCAGCAGGGTGGCTGCCACCAGCACAGAGGAGAGGGGCCACCAAACAGACAGCCCCAGGCGGCAGGAAAGCCAGCTGCCCCCAAGACATGCAGCCCCCACACCCCTGGACGAGACCTCCCAGCACACGGAGGCTGCCATGCGGGCAGAGAGCGACCACTCCCGCGTCTCCTGCTGCATCAGGACTCCGAGGCTCGGGAGGGTCTAGAGCAGCAGGATACCTGCTGGCCAGGACTCCCAGACTCTGCCACTCTGCCACCCAGCAGCCCGCGGAGCAGCACACAACGCCCTCAAGGACCCCGTTGCCCTGGATGTGCAGCCCCTGCCAGATGTGGGAGGCAGCTACCTGGAGGCATGCCCCCTGCCCGGCCACACCGCCCCCACCTGCTGCTACTGCTGCTCCTGGTCTGCGGGGTGAGTGTCCCACACCCGCCTGCCCCGGGCGGGCCCTGCGTGGACGGCCTGTGCTGACCTGCACTGTCCTGACTGTGTCTCTGGTGGCTCTTCCACCTGCCCCAGCCGCAGGCCCCCTCCGCTCAGGTGATGGACTTCCTGTTTGAGAAATGGAAGCTCTACAGTGACCAGTGTCACCACAACCTGAGCCTGCTGCCCCCTCCCACCGGTGAGCCCCCACCAGGGCCTTCCAGCCTCCCGGCCTTGAGCTCCCTGTACAGGAGGGCTCTTTCCTCCAAGCAGCCCTGCGGGGGGCGGGGGCGCCTATCACCTGCACAGGTGAGGTCACTGAGCACAGAGAGGCCAGAGACTCGCACAGCCAGGAAGTGACGGAAATGGTAGAGCTGCTCCAAAGCTGGCTGCCCACACCCGGGGACACCATCCCTGCCCCCACAGAGCTCAGAGTGGGCAGACAGTGCGTGGGAGAGATGGGACCCAGTGGCTAGCAGCACACAGGCTGGGGAGGGCTCAGGCAGGGCCTGGATGTCATGATCTGGACACTCAGGCGCAGGGAGAGATGGGCAGCAGGCCCCCCCAGGAGGCCACCAGACCCTGGACGAGGCAGGTGGCCTGGGCTGGGCAGAGGGGAGCCAGGTCTGGGAGCCACAGGGTTGGCACCAGACCAGGAAAGGATGCTGATGGAATTGGGGTTCAGCCCCCAGAGAGGAAGTGCTGCAAGAAGGAAACCCCAGCATGGGTTTGGGACACATTTGAGATGGGCGGGTCTCCCTGGGAAGGTGCCCTGGGTGGGGCTGGAGCTCAGGGCCAGGCTGGGCTGGAGGTGGGGGAGGGCACACTTGGTCTGGGGAGGCGGATGGCCAGGGGCACCTGGTCCCAGGCCCAGGTGGAGAAGGAGCGGCCCTGGGCTGCCTGCTGGGAGAGGAGGTGGCAACACTCGGGCTTCCAAAAGGAGGGCTCTTGCCGGGCCAGGCCCTATTAAGGGAGCCCGGTTCCCCCTGACCCCCGACCCCGCCTCTGCAGAGCTGGTCTGTAACAGAACCTTCGACAAGTATTCCTGCTGGCCTGACACCGCCCCCAACACCACGGCCAACATCTCCTGCCCCTGGTACCTGCCTTGGCACCACAAAGGTAACCACAGGGCATGGGGTGGCGGAGGGGCCGGGCCTGGGTTGGGGGCTGACCAGAGCCTGCCCTTGCGCCCCCAGTGCAGCACCGCCTTGTGTTCAAGAGGTGCGGGCCCGACGGGCAGTGGGTGCGCGGGCCCCAGGGACAGCCATGGCGCAACGCCTCCCAGTGCCAGATGGACGACGAGGAGCTCAAGGTCCAGGTCAGCCTGTGGCGGGATGGGCAGGGCTGTGGGGGTGCAGGAGGCGGCTCCCCCTGCCCTGACCGGCCACTGATCTGCAGAAGGAAGTGGCCAAGATGTACAGCAGCTTCCAGGAGATGTACACGGTGGGCTACAGCCTGTCCCTGGGGGCCCTGGTCCTCGCCCTGGCCATCCTGCTGGGCCTCAGGTAGGCACCCGCCAGTGCCTGGGCGGCCGTAGGGGCAGGGAGGAAGGCAGCAGGCACTGACTTGCCGTCCCTGCAGCAAGCTGCATTGCACCCGAAACTACATCCATGCAAACCTGTTCGCGTCCTTCGTGCTGAAGGCCAGCTCCGTGCTGGTCATCGATCAGCTGCTCAAGACCCGCTACAACCAGAAGATCGGCGACGACCTCAGTGTGAGCATCTGGCTCAGTGACGGGGTGAGTGTCCTGCCCTGCCCCAGCCCTGGTGGGCAGGTGGCGATGTGACCCTGCTCACGCTGTACCTGCGCCAGGCGGTGGCCGGCTGCCGCATGGCCGCGGTGTTCATGCAGTACGGCGTGGTGGCCAACTACTGCTGGCTGCTGGTGGAGGGCCTGTACCTGCACAGCCTGCTGGACCTCGCCACCTTCCCCGAAAGGAGCTTCTTCACCCTCTACCTGGGCATCGGCTGGGGTGAGTGGGCTGGTGCCGTGGGGGGCTGCCTGGCCAGGGCCTTGGGACCACAGCTGCCGCCCCCTGCAGGTGCCCCCATGCTGTTCGTCATCCCCTGGGCGGTGGTCAAGTGTCTGTTTGAGAACGTGCAGTGAGTACCACAGAACAGGGAGGAAGGCCTCCGAGGGGGCCGTGGTGGGCGGCAGGAGGCGGGTGGGGGCTCTGACCTCAGGCAGTGGGGGGGTGGCAGTCCTGGAGCCTGGAAGGGGGTCATTCGTGACCTCACGCCTTCCTTTCCTGAGCGCCGATCAGATCCTGGCGGAACCACTGCGGGAGTGGGGCGGGCGTTGGGTGGGGGCTGTGCGCCTAGGATGCGAGCGCCCCGCCCCGCAGGTGCTGGACCAGCAATGACAACATGGGCTTCTGGTGGATCCTGCGCTTCCCCGTCATCCTGGCCGTCCTGGTGAGGAGATGAGGTGCCTGCTGGCCCCCGGGGAGGGGTGCTGGCAGGTGGCACACCCAGGCCCCTCCTTCCTTGGTGGCCGTAGGCAGCCCGAGGGGACAGACAGCATCCTGCCTGGCCTGGGAGGACTGGAGGGAGGCCCCGGCACTCAGCCAGGACACTGGCCACGCTGCCCTTCCTTGGCAGGGTGCCTGCCAGCCCCAGGGCCCATCTGGCCCACTGGCAGGAGGGACAGATGGGGTCATCCAGGGACACAGAGCTGTCCCCTGGGGCTCAAGGGCTGCCCCAACCTGTGTCCTCTGCACACAGATCAATTTCTTCATCTTCGTCCGCATCATTCGTCTTCTCGTGGCCAAGCTGCGCTCCCGCCAGATGCACTACGCTGACTACAAGTTCCGGTGGGTGTGGGCGGTGGGGCTGGCGCCTCGTGGCCCAGAAGGGGCTGGGGGGGCATGCCAAGGCGCAGGTGGGCTGGCTGCCGTGGGTGGCTCAGGCCCCGCCCCTGCAGGCTGGCCAAGTCCACGCTGACACTCATCCCCCTGCTGGGGGTCCACGAGGTGGTCTTCGCCTTCGTGACCGACGAGCACGCCCAGGGCACCCTGCGCTCCGCCAAGCTGTTGTTCGACCTCTTCCTCAGCTCCTTCCAGGTGCCCGCCTGCCCCCCCAACCGCCCCCCACCCCAGGCCGGGGCTGCTACTGACCCGCTGTCTCCCTCCAGGGCCTGCTGGTGGCCGTCCTCTACTGCTTCCTCAACAAGGAGGTGGGTGGCGCCTGAGGCCGTCAGCCGTGGCCCTGGGGTCAGGGTCAGACAGGGCAAGAGGACACTCGGCCCACCTCCACCTGGGATCGAGCTTGCCATGCCAGTCCCTTCCGCCTGCATGCTTTTAGCACAGTTGCTATGACGTGGGGTGCACATGTGAGGGGAGGAGGAGTTCCCAAATCTGCAGACCTCCGCCCTTGTGGCCATGAGGGTGTCACTGTGCCCAGTGAGGAGCTTGCTTGCCCTGTGCCCCCAGGGCCGAGGGCTTGAGCATCCAGGAAGGCCCACGGCAGGGGCCTGGGGAGGGCATGACGGCAGGCCCTGGGACTGGCCCGACCCGCTGCACACCCCCAGGTGCAGTCGGAGCTGCAGCGGCGCTGGCACCGTTGGCGCCTGGGCAAAGCGCTGCGCAGGGAGCAGCGCACCGGCAGCCACACGGCCTCGGCTGGGCCTGCTAAGAACCTGCAGCTCGTGAGGGATGGCAGCAGCAACGGCATTGGCCAGGACCCCTCTGCGGAGACCCCCTTGGCCAGTGGCCTCCCTGGGTTGGCTGACAGCCCCTTCTGAATCCCAGGCTGGGGCTGGACTCAGGCGCCCAGAGAGGGCATCGCTGCACAGCCCAGAACTGGGGGCCCTGCCGAGCCCGGAGGGCCCTTGCTGTCCACCTCTCCCACCAGTGTGGCGGTCTGTGGGGTGGGGCTGCCCCTCCCCACACCTGCCTTGCTCCTGGGGACAGGGGTCTGGGGTGGGGGGAGCTGCGCTGTGAACTGCATGCCTGCGTCGCCGTGTGTGCTGGTGTGTTCTGTGCGTGTGGAAATGCGTGCTCTCCAACAATAAAGAGCTGAGTAGTGGCCCTGTGCGCATCCCAGAGGGCGGCTGGAGATGCCCTGGAGTGGGGGTGACCACGCCAGCTGTAGGTGGTGGCACCAGTGCTGGCACAGCCCCGGAGGGAGTACCTGCTTCCCAGAGAGCTGGCGCTGGAACCCCTGAGGGGTCCCTAGGATGGCCAGCAGTGCCTGTACCTCCCGAGCAGGTTCTGGTCTCCCTCCCATCCTGGTTCAGGTGGTGGCTTCCGGGAGCTTTGGCCCCCACCCCCCAGAGGGTCACCATTCACCTGCAGAGAGACTCGAAGGGGGCACCGTGTCTAAGGGAGGGCACAGGCGTCACAGACCTCCTATCAACCCCTATGAACAGCGGATGTACCAGAAGGCGTCTTCTAGAAACCCCTCTCCCTGGAAGCAGCCGGAACAGTGATGCCCTTCCCGGGAGGCCCTGGCACTCCACTTCCTCCCAGCTCCAGCCGCGCCGGCAATTTGCAGGCCACATGGCAGGGTGAAGCAGTGAGAAATGGCCCCCGAAAACTGCCGCGAGTCTAGAGGAAAGTGGCAGCACGGCCCCTTCCTATGCACGGCCCCGCACTTAGCAAAGGCCCCACCCAGAACATCGTGTGCTGGGGGCACCCTGCTCGCCAGGCCAGGGGCGCTGACGCCAGCCAGCAGAGAGCTGCCTCCTGAGTGCCAGCCCCGGGCAGAGCCGGAGGGCGCTTTGGGGTGGGGGCCCCGATTGTCTGGGGCTCAGCGTGTCTGATGCAGGCGCTACCGTCCTGGATTCAGACACGCTTCTGAGGCCCAGGAACCGGGGTGGTGCCCCTCCAGGTGGTCCCTGCAGCAGGTGCTGTGACACCTGGTAGGCATGCATGGGGTGAGGAAGGAGCCAGCCAGGTGTCCCCACTCCAAGGAGCTGGTGGGAGGTGACCACTGGGCCCTGGGGAGGGGGTGCTCACAGCCCCCAGGGCACGTGGGCGAGAGCCGCTCAGGCAGAGCCAGGCTAATTGGAGCAAATGAAAGGACACGAGGCCTCTCGGGAAAGGTAAATAGAATTACACACTCTCCAGGCGCTGGGCCTCTCCTGGGGGGCCCCCCACACTGCCCCCACCGCAGGGCCTGTGCGCAGCAGGAGGCCGGGGGAGGTGAGGCTGGGCCAGCAGCACCTGCCCGAGGCCCCAGACCTTGAGGCTTTGGGTCAACTCACATCCCACACCCCAGCTGCTGACTCTCCAAGCCCTGGATGCTCCGACCAGGTGCCCGTGTGGGCACGGGCTGCTCTGAGCACAGGAGGGTGTTATGTTCTCCTTCACGCCAGCTGAGCGCAGGGTTGGTGACTGCCTTGGGGGGTATGCCACTCACCTAGGGCTTCCTGACTGCCCTCCCCATCTGGAGTCTCTCTGCCCTTGTCCTGCTCCAGGAACTGGAGCAGGCTGGCGCAGTCAGGGTGGAGTTGGGGCCTGGCAGGGGCTAGACTCACCCAGCCAATAGCACTGGCCCTGACCAGGCCTTTAGGCGGTGGAGGAGCCACTTTCTGACTCAGCCCACACGGCATCACTCTCCAGCGCTCGGGCCCTCTGCCCCTTCCCCGTGGTGACAGCCCTCCCACCTCTGGCTTAGGCCTGCACTTCACTTCCCCTCCCCCAGAGGAACTGAGGGTACCACTCAGGAGTGTGTGTGCTCTGAGGGGAGGGTGACTGGGTGTGCAATTGTGGGAGGGAAATGCACACCCGTGTGTCAGATGGGGGAGGTGTGTGGACATCCAGCGTCCCAGAGGGAACGTCTGCAAGGGGTTGTGCATGTGTGCGTGGCCGGGAGCAGGATGGCTTCCGTGTGACCCCTGGACACACACATTCTACTTAAAATGAGGGTGGACTGGGAGGCCGAGGCGGGCGGATTGTTCTGAGCTCAGGAGTTCGAGACCAGCCTGAGCAAGAGCGAGACCCCGTCTCTACCATTTTAGAAAGAAATTAATTGGACAGCTAAAAATATATGTACAAAAAATTAGCCGGGCATGGTGGTGCGTGCCTGTGGTCCCAGCTACTCGGGAGGCTGAGACAGGAGGATCGCTTGAGCCCAGGAGTTTGAGGTTGCTGTGAGCTAGTCTGACGCCACGGCACTCGCCCCAGGCAAGAGTGAGACTCTGTCTCAAAAAAAAGAGGGTGGAGACCAAGAAAAAGGAAGACATGAACTACAGTATCGGGTCAAACTTAGGAGAGTCAGGAGTGGGCCACTGGGGTAGGGGGGCCTCAAGCCAGGCAGGAGGCTTGGGAGAGGCCCTGCAGGGGATGAAAGTGACTGAACACACTAGAGATTTGGATGACCTGGTGGAGAGGTCAGGACTTAATTAGTGATTAGTGCACAGAAAACTAAACAAATGAAAAAAGAAGGCAATTAGTAACTCCATGGAAAACAAAAAGTTGGACAGAAAAAACAATCACATGGTTCAGTTCTGAATACAAACAGAGACATAACATAAACTCAACACTGATGTCACCAAAGTCACAGGGAAAAAAGAACTATCTAGCAGGACGGTGGACAGGAACAGCGCAGGTGTCTACTGGGGGTGGGAGAGAGAACAAAATGGGAAAATGAAGAAGTAACAACTCACATGTTATTTAGAAATAAAAACACAAATCACAGCATCAGCTGAGTAGTTGGAAGTGGTTGTCTCTAGGCAAGGGGGATGCGGGAGGAGAAGGCAGGGCTGTAGGTCCACTCTGAGCTGGCTCAGCCTTCTCCTGGACACCGTGGCCACCTGGGCCCTCAGTGCCCCTCGCCATTCCTCCTGCCTCCTCCTCTCTCTGGCTGTTGTGCCCAGGGACACGCCCCACCCTCCTCCCTCTTTATCAATCTGTAAAAACATTCAATATTTAGATAACTCCTAATTTATATCCCCAGCCCCTGTGGCCCTCCCAAACCCACACTTTATTTAGAGATGGGGTCTTGCTCTGTTGCCTAGGCTGGAGTGCAGTGGCATCATCAGAGATTGCTGCAGCTGGGACGACAGGTGTGCATCACCTCACCCAGCTCCGAATCTGCAGTTTAGACCCAGCTCCCGGCTCCACACGTACATTTGGACGCCCAACAGTCCAGTTCCACAGCCCCACTCGGAGCTTCTCTCCTGCCCCAACTCCTTTCTCCCACCGTGCACTACAGAGCCTCCTACTGCACCTCCGCTTCTGCCCGGGGCCCTGCAGCCAAGGTCTCCTGTGACTCTGATCAAGCCTCCACATCTCAGCTCAGTTTACAGAAATATAGGGGACAGAGGAGCCTAACGGGGATACCACAGGGACATAACCAGGCACACGCAGAATGTGCATTACTCCATCCAAATGCCCTGGGAGTCTTTGATTCGTAAATACAAGGAAAGGAGGGGACTGTCACAGAGAGACTTAGGGGATACATTCACTTTGCCTTCCCACTCCAAGTCAACCCATCCGGAATACAATTATTTTAGAGGTTAAGGGAATTTGAACTGGGTATATTGGATATTAGGAAATCATTGTTCATGCTCAATAAGCATGTACTGGCTGGGCGCGGTGGCTCACGCCTGTAATCTGGGAGGCCGAGGCGGAAGGATCACTTGAGGCCAGGAGTTCAAGACCAGCCTGAGCAAGAGCGAGACTCCATCTCTACTAAAAATAGAAAAATCAGCCAGGCATCATGGTCTACATGCCTATAGTCCCAGCTACCCGGGAGGCTGAGGCAGGAGGATCGCTGGAGCCCGGGAGTTGGAGGCTGCAGTGAGCTAGGCTGACTCTGCACTCTACCCTGGATGATGGAGTCGGTCTCAAAAAAAAAACCCAAAACAAAAACAAACCATGAACATGGTCAACAAGTATTAAGTTAAAATTCTAACAAAAATAAAAGCTTAAAAATCCCTTGAAAGAGGTCACTGTTTTCTTACTTGTAATCAGGGTAGTAAAACCTGCCCCGCTGAATTGCTGACATTGAACGAAAGCAAATATGAGCAACGTGTGGACGGGCGATGCCGCAAAGGGGGGACACTCGCCTCCCTTCCCCCCTCGCTGCGGAAGGGGAGGGAGTGTCTCAGCTGGCAGCCAGCCCAGCAGCCCCCAGGGCTGGGCAAGGGGCCCCCCGGGTCAGCGGGCTAGCGCCCACCCTGCATCTGCCCTGCTTTGTGAGTACACCCAGTCCAACTCCAGCGGAGCGACGCCTGGGCCCACAAGGCGTGCTCCGCCCCTCTGCCAGCCCTCTCCCCACCCTCAGGCCCCTGAAGCACCCCCAACATCAAGGGGTCAGGGTTCCTGCTCTCTCCCAGCAGGTGGCCTGACCAGGCCATCCTCCTCTCCTCCAGGTGATCTTGGCAGAAAGACCCCCCAAGTCCAGAGCCTCCAGTGGGCAAGGAGAGGGAATGAAGAGCCCAGAGCAGCATCTCAGACCCAGCCAGGCCAGGGGTGGGTGGGGGCGGGCACAGGGCATGCCACCACACCTGGCTAATTTTTTCTTTTAGCAGACAGGGTCTTATTCTTGCTCAGGCTGGTCTCCAAACCCTAACTCCTGACCTCAAGCAATGCTCCTGCCTCAGCCTCCCAGAGCGCTAGGATTACAGGCCTGAGCCACCGCACCAGGCCTCAAGGCCCTTTCTTCACACAGCAAGCTTCCCTTAGGCACCTCCAGGTGCGCTGTCTGGCGGTCCCAGCGCCCCTGTAAAGGACAGGCCTTTGGACCAACCAACATGGCCCACACCCTCACTTTACAGATGGGGAAACCGAGTCAGACTGGCAGTGTGACGTGCCCCAGGGCTCACAGCAAGGCCATGACCACAGCCACCAGACTGCAGAATCCATGCATCCACCTGAGGACTTGGGTGGTTCCAGTTCATTTGAGACTGAGCACCATGTCAAGAGTGCCTGTGAGGTGACTAAGTGGCAGCAGGCACCAAGATTGGGCAACAAGCCGGGATGTGGGCGGCAACTGCCACCTGAACAAACAGGTGCAGAAACAGCAATTGGCTCAGTCGCATGGGCAGCAGCCTGGCTAGGGCTTCGGCCCGCTCCCTGCGTCCTGGGGTCCGAGAAGGC